TTGTCCTTAGGGTGTCCCACCCTGATTCCAGGTCATGGAAACCTCCAGAGTCCCAGAGGGGAGGAGTCTGGCTAGTTGCCAGCCAGGCTGCCAGCACAGGGTTGGCACCACGGCTCCTCATCACGTGCCCCGGGGGATAAAGTCTTGCCATTGTAATTCCCTCCATCGGGAGAAAAGCTCAGAAATCCCACCAAAAATAAACTAAAAGGTCCTTAAATGCTTGAGTAGTGACTATATATATATATATATATATATATATATATATATTGCATTTGTTAGGACATGCTTGTGCCAAGCTTTCAGACCACAATGACAATGGCTTGTAAGATGGAGTGTGTCCACTGGTCCCTTTCAGGCTCATTTACTTTCCAGAAAAATTGTTTCTCTGAAAATACACTTCCCTTGATAACACAATAGGGTCCTCATTCCTCGCCACTGGAGGCACATGGGCTAGGTCACCTGTCACATCTCACTTTTCCGTTTTCTTCTGAAGTCAGATTAGGTAAACCAGAGGATCCCAGGTGTGTGTTTAAAATACAGCTGGAAATCAGCAAATGACTTATTTCCTCTTCTTTAAATCAATGATCTCTAAGGTCTCTTCTAACTTTTAAATTAGATTTCAGAGTATTCTGCATTTCTTATGTAGTACATAGTAAGACTGGAGACCCCTGCAGTGTGTCTAAAAGCCCTTTAAAATCACCAAATACCAGAGGAGAACCTGCCTCATTTAACAGCTACGGTGGCCGGTGGCCGTGTATATTTAGAAAACGCACCTCACTGGTGAGTCGGAATGTTTTTGGCTGGAGGCTTTTGCAGAGTTACAAAGTGTGTCTGTATAAGGAAGGTTATGTGGGCTGGTGGTGGGGGCTGCTTTTTTTCTTTGCTTTTATCCTGGTTGTTTCACTCCAGTTGGATAAATTATTAAACAACAACAGCCACACTGTTTCACATATTTATAACCTTCTTCTTAACTTGTTTTAATGGTAATATTCACCGTGAGTAAATATGTATAAAATATGTTCATTATCTATACAAACACATTTCACTTTATTTGATGCAAGGTCAAGTGCTTGATGTCCGAAAGATGAATCACAGAAAAAACCTTTAGAGGATATCCAGTCCAATTTTCTTAGCTTTATAAATGAGGACACTGAGGTCCAGAGTGATTAATTATTATATTCAAGATAACTAGCCAGTGGCCAAGGCGGAGCTAGAACCCTGGCCTTATGACAATTAGCTCAAGCCAGTGCTTAGTAATACATTTGGGTTGTTCTTATCTGCTGGAGTCAGCTCAGCCAACAAAGTTTTTTGGGCCTCTACTAACAGGTGCTCTCCGAAAAATGAGGCAAGGCCCCTGCCCTGGCGGAGTTCAGAGGCTCACAAGCAAGTCAATCAGAAAAACAAAATCGATTTGTTATGTTTGTCCCTTGTGGTACATACATTGAAACACTTCTGGGGCAACTTTAATGTCTACACCTACAGTGTCTTGAATAAAATAAATCGTTGTTTTTTGCTGGGGCCTATATTTTTGTTTTTTTCATTTTTAACAGATAATTAGTATGCTAGAGCATTCTTTTAGACTATGTAAATATAAGGCAGGAACAATAATTGTTGCCCAAACTGGAGTTGGTAACAAGGGGAATTTAGGATATAAAAGCTTCTGGTACCAAATATTTGTTTTTAATTTTTAATTTTAAATTTTTTTGTCATTACAGGATAAAAAAAAAGAGAGTAAGGTGAAAGAGCTATCTGGGGCATCATGAATATTTAAGCTAAAATAACAATCATTTAAAAATATATAGAGAATTTTTTTTCCTTTCAATATTGTCATTATAGTTCAAACAATTTTGCTATTTTATATTCAACCTCAATTCTGGTTGAAAAGGGACAATTTTTCTTCAAATATTTTCTGAAGATTTTCAAGATGGATTTAAAAATAGGTTGACTTTTGAGTTATGCAATTTTTTTCAACTACTTTAAAAGTACATTCAAGATCAGCACTCACAGTCCCCTTGCCAAAGGAAGATTAAAATAATAGCAATTCATACAGATTTCCACATTCCCCTCAAATGTGTACATAGGAAAGTAAGGTTTTAATACAAATTTGAACACAAGAAAAGATGATGTCCCTTATGAACGTCACTATGGTTTTCATTTGAAATTACTCGAGTTCTAGGAGCCGTCCACTGCAAGTGGCCCTGTGGGAATAGCCACGGATACTGACACTGCTCCTGGATAAATATCTTGCTTCCTAATTCAAAAGCTCTGAAAGCCAAAGGTAAAAATGATCTCATGTTCAGCTGTCTTTAAGAAACTGAAAACAATTTTTATATAAATAACATGTATATGTACCTATATACATGAAAGCTGACCCTTGATTACCATTTGAGCTTTTCTGGCAGGAAATCTGGCTGGCCTGAGTGACGGTCCATTGGGAGACTGTGGTCTGGAATCCTGCACCCACCCAGAACTGAGAAAGAAACAAATATTTTGTAAAAATTCTAAAAGAAAAATAAAAAGTGGGAAAGCTTGGGTATCAGGCATTTCTACTCCATCATTCCTTGTACAGCATTGATGGGGCCACTTGCTAGACCTCAGACCAGTGCCCAGCACCAGGGATGTTTGGGTTCAAGGACAGACAATTAAATGAGCCATGGCAATGGCACATGGCAAGCTAGGATAGGGCTTCTCACCATGGCTGCTCACAGCATCGCCTAAGAGATTAGGCTAAGCCTCTGGGATAAAGCGCAGGATTTGCAGAAACTCCACAGTATTCTCACGTGCAATCGAGGTGAAGAAGCACAATGGAGGGTGAGTTTGGGATGCTGCAGGAGCCTGGGGCTCTCAAACCTTAGCGGGCACCAGAATCACTTGGAGAATTTTTCAGCACAAATTCTTGGGCTCCACCCTCAGAGTTTCTGATTCCCAGATCTAGGGAGGTGGGAGGTTAGAATTTGCATTTCTAACAAATGCTGCTAATGCCGATGGTCCTGGGACCACACTCGGAGAACCACCGTGATAGGAAAAATGATCCCAGAGTGACGTTTAAGTAAACTGCAAAGGCTCAGTCGGGGTTAGGGAGGTGTGTGAGAATATATGAGAATGTAAGTGTGTGTGTGTGTGTGTGTGGTGGTGCAGACAGGAGAAGCTGGGAGGAAACATTTTACATAGAAGAGCTGAGCAAGCGTTGGGAATTAGATTTGAAGAGCTGGGTTCAGCCTCATTGGCTGTGGCTAGGTCATGGGGACAGCCCAGTCCCATCACGGAGTTTGGGTTACATTTTAATGGCTGAGTGGGAATAGAATGTCATAAGATTTGTGTTTTTGTAAATTTGCTGTGATTTCATTACTGAGCATGGGTTGAAGGTGGGTAAAACTGGAAAAAGTCTAGTTAATAAGTTTTTGCAGTTTTGTTTGTTTTTGAGACAGTCTCACTCTGTCGCCCCAGCCTGGAGCACAATGGCGTCAGCCTAGCTCACAGCAACCTCAAACTCTTGGGCTCAAGCGATCCTCCTGCCTCAGCTTCCCGAGTAGCTGGGACTACAAGCATGTGCCCACCACACCTGGCCAATTTTTTCTACTTTTGGTAGAGACAGGGTCTCACTCTCTAGTTTAGGCTGGTCTCGAACTCCTGAGCTCAAGTGATCCTCCCTCCGTCCTGTCTGCCGGCTCAGCCGGGTTCTGCTTCCAGACGGCGCGGAGCGCGCGCACACTGCTGTGCACTGCTGCCACCTGGTGGGCGAACATCACAATGGACCGTCCTCCCTTCTGCATGTATGAGTCCACACGAAGAAATACAGAAGTATTATAATAAACCTTTCTGTGTTTTAATAGCAGTGGTCCCCAGCTCTTTTGGCACCAGGGACTGTTCTCATGGAAGACAACTTTTCCGCCGATGAAGGGGGATTGTTTCGGGGTGATTAAAGCGCATTACATTTATTGTGCATTTTATTTCTATTACTATTACATTGTAATATATAATGAAATAATTATACGACTCATCATAGATTGGGGACCCCTGTCTTAATTATTTTCCTTCTTTATTTTTGTCTCATTTCATCCCATCTTTTCTTAATTTTCTTTTTTTGTGTGAGTGGGCCGTGGGGGGATGTGCAAACATTTTTCATAACATTACAAACTTAAAAAAATGTTACCATCCGAACAATTTTTCTTTTCAGTGGCCTCAGTGGCTTAACATTGTTTCCTGGGGGTGTGTGGGGATGTTTCTCACTGTTTTACCAGCTATGATTTACAGCATGCTAAAGCCCACAGAGCCGGATGAGAAACAGAACCCCGGGAACCTTTAGATGTGAAAATAATATTTTATAGCTATTGTGCTTCCTATTTTTGCTTCTGTTTTAAATGACATATCCACTTTAAATGTCAGGATATGCCTTACTGATTTTGAAACATCTTTCTTTGCAGACTTGACACCATCCTTCACGATCAAACGTCGCATGACTAAAATTTCAAAGCACGGTGCCAGCCCATTCTGTCACATTATATAGTATTAAGAAGCTATAACACATTCTCCACTAGAATGTCATCTTATTCATGCTTCACTTATTTTTTTATTTCTTTGACTTAATCCCCAATGTGGTAGTATTATTTATGCTGTAAAGGAAGAAATGACTAGGGTGAATTAAATAAAATGAAACCCCCTTCCACTTTTATAACTGTTTGACTTATCACAGTAGGCATAACCTGATCCTTACTCAGCTCCTGAAAAGCCTGAAGTGTTGTACACCACCTGTGTACTACTCCCTGCCAAGTTTTATATGGATTTGATAAATAAATCTCAGTTCCGGACCCCATATAGTCAATTCCTTATAGTCAGAGTATTAATCAGTAACATAATTGGGGAAGACTCAACAGCAAGTACTGGTTTTTGCTAGTGCATCACACTGGAAGACTTAAATTGGGGAAATGGTGTCCTTATCCACCTCTGGGTATTGTCATTAGAATCCAAGAGAAGAACAAAGGAGAAAGACATGCTCTTACCGTTGTCATTGCCTTGCTTGATTTCTTCTGCTGTCCGATCTATCAATACGTACAAGGACCAAACCACACAGGTGATGGCGATGACATGGAATGTGACAGAGCAGAATATTTTCCTCCTTTCACTCGTGGTCATCTGTAGTTTCTCCCACTGCAATCAGAAAGGAACCACACAAAACCGAATTTCTAACTAGGAAATTTCACTCCCCTTTTATTTCCCAGACATAGATCATGAGTGGAAGGAAAACATTAAACATCTGCAATTTCATATGTCAGCATTAAATTCAAACAAGTCTTCAGGTTTGGAGAGAAATGAAGTCATAACTGGAAGAGTTATATATAACAAATATAGATTAAAATAAAAACAAAAATGATTTTCTATACTCCTCATGAATTAAATCAAGTGATTTCTGTTTCGCAGGTCTGTAGTTTCCTCACCTGTAACATGAATGAGACACTTTTAATACTGCACAGTTTTTCGAAAACATTTCTTTTTGGGTTCCTGCCTATCACTTCTTTGTAGTACTAGGTTAGAAGTAGTAGTAGCTGATATTGTCTTCTTGGATTATTATATAACTGGGCATAGTTTTGCATTCTTGAATGTACACCTTTAGCAAACATTTGAATGGCTAAATGATATCTGCGAAAGAAAGCCAACATTTTCTGTTCCCAACCCTTCTCCTAGAAAAACAAATTTTACCATTTGAGCAATGGGAGAAAATCTATGAAGCCCCTGTTAGGGCAGCCTGTATTTTCTGCTGCCATGTGGGTTGTAACTGCTATGACGACCATTGCCCCTTAATCACACGCCTTGGAAAGTTGAGGGCTCCCTCAGTCTGGGAGAGGAACAGGACCACAAGTTTTACAGAATTAAGTGAACATTTGTGTTGGGAAAAGGTTCCTATATTCACTTTGAAGAAATAGTCTCCAAAATAAATTTTAATATTTTAATAGTTGCAGTATCACTTCATTTCTATGTTGGAAATTGTGTCTTTATTTTCTTTGCATTATTTCCATAAGAAAATCAAATCACTATGATTTTATTAGAGGTGAACTGGGGGTGTGCCAAGCTTTTAATAATCCATGATTCTTTACAACATTATGCCCTCGCTGAAGTAAAATTTTTAGAAATTCAGAAGACCTCACTCCTTCCCCACTCCACGAGTATACATGCAGAATTCAATACGCAACTTGACCAAAACCAAGAAGGTGTACGTTGTTTTACATAAAGTCCTGGCTCTGCTTTGAGACGTGGGTGAAGTCGCTTACTCTCAGTGGGCCCTGGTTGCCGCATCTTCATGAGGAGCAGATTGCAGTGGAGGATGTGACTGAGAGGTGGAAGAAGAGAATAACCATTCTCACTTCTTCCTTTATGGGCATTCCCTATTTTCCACCAATGAGATAGGAGTGGATATCTACTTGGATATTGAGCTTTCGCCTTCCTGATACAGGAATTGTCCCTTTCCTCCCTTTTCTCTCTCTGCTGCCTGGAACTTATAAGTAACAGGAATAGTGTCAACAGCCACCTTGCACAGTTGAGGCAAAGTCTGGAGAATTGGAGCGACCTCAGCCCAGTCAGCAAGAGCTCACCTTTGGATGCCCTGTTACATGTGAGGAAAATGAAGGCCTCTGCAATTAAGCCATTATTTCCCAGGTTTCTGCTACTTGTTTCCCAATGCAATTCTTGATGAAAAAATTAAATAGGCAATTCCTAAATTCTCTTCCAGGCTAAAGATTAAGATTCTCTAATTTCCTTTGTAAGACAGCAAAATACTTAAAGTATGATCTTGATGCTCCAGAGAGCTGTTTAAACATTTTAGAGAAAAAAAAAGTTTTCCTCACAAACACCATCCACCCGCCTCTGGCTGGCCAGTCATCACGGAGGGCTCTGTTGGAGTTAATCCACAAGTCATAATTCATCTTGCACTTTGTTTTGCATCAAATTATATTTATATATTATTCCAAGTAAAATAACAGAGAAATATTAATAATGTGGCTAAGGAATAACAGATGCCTCAATTTAGACTCTTTTAAATTAATCAACCTTGAGAAGATTTTAGTGTTACTATGACTTTTATCAAAATTTCACATCATATCTGTGAAAGACTGATGTTTAAAACCATGTTTTGGTATTGATTTATTGTAATATTAATGTGAATAACTTGTATAGTCATAGAATATAATAATTTGGCAATAGCACTTTGTGGTTTAATACATATTCCTTGAATTATCCCAGTCAGTATTTAATATAGCCAAATAAAAAATGTAGGATGGTGCAGAAAAGTAGCTTCATGTGTTTAAATTTCCGAAGTGTTCTAAGTGGATGAGAATAATTTCAGTAACAAAATATTCATACCAAGTCAACCCTCAATTGTGTAAGTGGCTTAAAAACACCACACTTTAAAATTGGGGCTTCTTATATCTATGGAGCAATTTGATGAAATGGCTGGAATACACTATTCAAAACAACGAGCCTCAAAAATATCAGTGGATCTGACAAGAACAGGCCAAATCATTTGTAAAGACTCATCTAGTTCCAGACAATAGAAGCTCTGAGGTTGTCACTTGTAAATCTCATCAATGTTTCAAGGAGAAGTGAAGTATAAGGGGACGTGAAGTATAAGGGGACCGTCAACCGTTTCCACTTTACAAATCCCTCCAGGAACCATTCCGAAACTCACTAGACAGCACACAAGCAAATGTAATGCCACAGCGCCCTCTTCCTAACGATTACATTACTGCATGCAATACTCACTGCATGGCACCTACAGAAATCAATGCGTTTTATAAAACACCTCTCATAATATTGTCTTTTCGGATTTGTAAACAAAGTTCCAATAGGTTTTGCAAAACTTCACAGTGAGGAATGGATAGAGAATATAAGAATAAAAATCTTACTTGAACAAAGCTGTCATGAAAGTGTTTTCGTTTAATAATTGTGATGCTGAAATTCAATAGCAGTTCACAAAAGATTTTGTGATAGGAAAGGTTTTAACAAGGCTTCAGGTGATTCTAATGTAAGCTAAAGTTTCAGAACCACCTGTCTAATGAATGACACAGCAGAGTTGCATCGTGACCTCACTGGAGTCTATATTAGAGGTAAGCACCTGTCCCTCCCTGTCACAAGCTAATTAGTAGTCCAGGGATGGGAAATCAATGAACAATTTTGGTTTTCTGGCTGTGATGTAAATATTTCAGGTTGAGTGAAAAAATTTACAAAAGCAGTGAATTTGTTTGAGATAAAATATGGTGGTTTAGAGTTAGCTCATTAATCACTAAAACAAACTGTTTCATTTTTTAATTTTAAAATTAGTGAAGGGTAACAGGAATGCCTATTCAAATCTAATTATATTAGCTACAACTTCCAATACTTTGAAAGAGAACTAAACAACAGACAATTATGAGAAGTAACTCTTGAGACCTTAATGAATGTTCAAATTCACAGACATGCCTTGTGGTAAATAATTTCCCTTTTAAAAATGTATCTACAAATATCAGAACTATCTGACCTCTTTAGACCTTTAATGAAATCTGCTACAAACCTGATGATAGGGAGGAAATAAGAAAGCCATGTAGGTGGTGGGCAGTCGAGTAAGCTCACTGATTAGCTAAGGGTGCTAACTATTGGACACTCATCAGAAAGTGTGCACGGCGCAAACTTGTCCCCCCATAGAATTACAAACAAGAATGCACATGGGTTCCCTGGCTTTCTTACTGACAGTCAAAACCTCAGATGTAACATCCACAAATGCTCTATGAGTCTACTGTAATTTCTAGAAAATCTTTTTCCTCCTACTTCTCTTCCACCTTGGGTCCACTCATGATAATTATTCAGTGTTTTCTGTGCTTGGCCCAATGTGAAGGGATATTATATATAATTTCTAATTGAATGCAGCTCTTCTATTTCTCTTGATAACATGACAGGAGGAAAATGATCTTATACTGCACCAGGGGTTAGGATCTACATCCAAAGAAATTGCAAGTGGAAACAGCGAGTTATGGGCCATGTGTCCAGATGAACTTGGGAAGTCTCCAATCCAAATATAAAAACTGTGTTTCCCCAAAAATAAGACAGGGTCTTATATTTATTTTTCCTCAAGAAGACACCCTAGGGCTTATTTTCAGGGAATGTGTTATTTTTTTTTAAGTACGGTACAACAATCTACATTTATTCAAATATAGTTAAGTCGTCTTCTTCTGGAACATCATCATAACTCTCCAAACCCCTAATTCCATCCTGAATTTCTTGCAACTCTATTTCCTTTAGAACCATTGGCCCCAATCTCTCATGTTGAGCAATAGAGCTCTCATGGGGCAGATGAGAAGGGCTGCTCGTCTTCTATACCACTCCACGACGAAATGCATGAGTTGTGCAGATACGCTACATCGCCATGCCTATCATTAGGTCTTCTTTTCGAGGTAGGGCTTATATTGCACAAATGCTTAGAAATCCTGCTAGGGCTTATTTTATGAGTAGGTCTTATTTTTGGGGAAACACGGTAGCAGATTGATGACTACCATCTTGGGATAGTTTGAACGTATATTTATTTAGAATTGTCAGAAGTAGTTATTGATACGCAGGGTAGAATAAAGATATCTCTGATACTCAGGTTAGGATAAAGATAACACTGCAAGAAATTGGCAGTCTTGTTGAAAATTGATTTATAAACTGTCCCACAAAGAAGAGAAACACCTGAAAACCTGACATCAATGGCTTCATTTTGCTACCACTCAGTTTGAGTCTCCTTTTGCATTCTCAATTACTGAGTAATGGGCCCTTCCTGAACATGGCAGGGAATAATAATAACAATTATTCAGTTCTAGAAGTCCTTTATAATTAGGAGTAGTTTTCAGTGTTAACTGCTTAACAGATTCATCTGGGAAAGCTAGTTCCCAATATACACACCCAGGCCTTGTTGAATTCATCACTGAGGAGTGAATCATGAAATTTTGCAGTGTATTCTGCTTGTGATCCAAAGTGTACTTGTTAAGAATGAGGGCACTATCCAATAAAGGGCTCATTACTAGAATCTACAAAGAACTCAAGGAAATCAGCAAGAAAAATATCAACCCTGTTAAAAAAGTGGGCAAAAGACATGAACAGAAACTTCTCAAATGAAGAGAGACTAATGGCCAACAAGCATATGAAAA